CTTTGTTCTTAATGGTGATAGGACAGATATCAGTGTCGTAACATCGCCTTCGACATCTTATATCTGATACCATAATTTCACAAGAAGTGGTGGATTTTGAGGCGAGGCTTTTATACCATGTCATGTCACCCTTACTCAAAGTGGTAGGGAACAACCTGCATTTGATGGTGCCTCTGGCATTGCGATAATCGAGCATAACATTGATGTTTTCGATAAGCTTATTGGAATTCGTTGTTCCGTCATAAGTTCCCAAGCTTGGTGGTTTCTCCAGCCCGAAGGGGAGGGGAGTGTCTATAGTTGCTTGAGATAATGGATTGCGAGGGTTGTCTTCGTCGCTTCGGATTGTCAAGCATGGTGGGGAGCGGACGTACCGAGGGCTGTTGTCGTGACATGGTAAGTCCCTTGGTAGGCCCTTTGATTTGCAGGGAGAAGAACAACAATTGTCTAGTCGTCCGCCGACTTTGTTTGTCTTGGCACCCGTGGAGCGCCGCTCCTTACGGGAAGGAGTATGACCGTGCTTCTTGGTCACCACGGGCTGCGGCCTCTCTAGCCGAGAGCGGCGACCGGTTGTCGCGGAGACGGGCTTCAGGACTCAGACTGTTGTTGTCTCTACGAGGGAGAGCATGAACAATGGTCTTTCTCCAACATTATGATTCTTTCATTTTATTGGAAGATCAGCAAGTTGGCCTGATTTACCGTCGTGAATAAGGCCACCACAGTCATATCAGCGTTGGGTGGCACTGGAATTAGTTGAAAAAACTCAGGAGTTTAGGGCGTTAGACACATTCTCGGCCGCACCGTCAGAGGAGGGGGAGACATTGAGTCCATTTCTAGGGGCGCCTTCTTCAGCTAACGGCATCTCATTGTTATTGTCGTGGTTACCGCCGACAGGGAGGCCAGTTTCACGAACGTTGTTATTGTCGTCGTGTTGCTTGGCCATGATTTGTAGGTTTTGAGAATTTTGCTTTGATCTTTGGTTTCAAGGAAAGAAAGATGGGGGAGCAAAGTTTCCCACATATGGCATCACTGATCTTACCTGGGATCAGAAGTAAATTGGTGACCAACAACACGTCGTGGTCTCTAACGTCAGGTGAGGGAAAAGGGGGAGGGGTGTATCTGCAAGACACTCTGATGCTAAAGTTAGTTCAACATGAAAGAAGGCAAGTACATAGGTTAAGAAGTGAAATATTAGTCTACCTGACCTTCCTACATATGAGGGTATTTATAATACCCCCAACGCTGGGCCAAAGGTCTCCATTATGGGTTGGATTTTCAGGCCCATAACGAATGACTGCCAGGATTCCTATGTGAAAGTAAGGATGACCAACTCGTGACCATCATCCTGGGTTAACTGCCCCGCAATCTTCGGATAGTGGGCGGACTTGCCCGTTACGGAGGCGAAACTACTCCACATAGTGCGTGGGTCAGTTGATGACGTGTCCTCGAGTGAGAAGCACGTGGAGAATGTGGTTTCCAACGGTCCCAATGGATTGGGCCAACATTTGGGCCGTCCTCGACATTGTATTGCGTTAGGCCGTGCCCGATAGTGGGCCAGCTATAGGCCTAGTCCAAAACATAAAGGAATCTTAAGAAGAAGAAGAAACTTGAAGGAAGAAGTAAGAGAAGCTTGAATTCAGCATCTCATTTCAACATCTTCATCTCTAAGGTGGATTCTAGTTAGAACTTTTCTTGCAATAGAGATTAGAGTTTTGTAGTAATGAAATATGATCCATTGTACTTTGTTGTGTGTGATATCTTGATCATGAAAGTTGTCAGGAAAGTATGACTCACTTATGATTTCCATGATTGTTGTGATTTCCTATTTTGTTGAATGTTGTTGTTGTTGTCGTCATTGTGGATATGTGTTTCATGAATGAGAAGAATTTTGTAGAATATGTGTTGTTTAGTGAAATAATGATATATGATAACTTGTTTAAGTGTGGGATGATGCATTGAGATGTCCTGTTACTGGTCTGGTTCTGACAGGTTCGCTACCAGGTCGTTAAGTGAGCATACTAATAGTGGAGCAACATTTTTTCTAGCCTGTTCGCTATAGTTTGCTAGGAGTTTGCTCATCAAAGTCTATTCTCTTCCAACTCACTAGGAGTTCGCTCAGCGAGATAGGGGAAGTTGGCTACTGACTTGGTTCTCTAGGGCTCGCTAAGCGAACTTGACAGCATTGAGAAAAATGCTTTGGTTCTTGTTTTCTCCATAACTCGAGAATCGTGACAATGCGCGGTCGAATGCGTTGGAAATCTTGTTTAAAACTCTATATGATCATGATATTTGATAATGATTTCATGCATGTTGTATGTGTTGAATGGAATATGATATCTTTTCATATGCGTGCCTTATGACATATGTCGTAATATGTTTGCTTTGAATGAACAATAATGGATTAAAACTTATGATAACAAGGGGGGAAATTTATGCGTATGATTAGGTGAATGAACTAGAAATATAACTTGGTTATGAAATGAGTTATGCAGTGACGCTTGAACGCAAAGGTACCTCAGTGTGTATTTGTAGACAAGTATTCACTTGTTTAAATGAATCATTATGCTTTGAATGAAACATGTGGAAATGATATGAGAATTGGTGAATGTGATCACCTAATGATTGATGAGTACAATCACGTTGCGTTTTATCTAATAACGTATTTGGAAACAACCCCATTATTATGCCCATCCCAAGTTGCGACACTAATGTAAAGTAAGAATTGAGATACACACACCAATACTTTGCATCAACCAAATGGGTTAGAATCCCATAAACTTACAGACCTCAAAGTGGGTTAGAGTCCCATATGAGAAAAATGCTCAAAATGGGTTTGGAGTCCCATAAGGAGCAACGATTATTGAAGTGGGTTGTTATCACTTAGAATCCGAAATCCACAAGAAATTCAAAGTATGATACAAGGATCCGTGACGCGTATCGATAATCCTAGACATAGGGTTGGCTGGGGAAAGATGCCTTGGTATGGTTTCCGAATAATGGTTGTTTTGAGTTAGTAAACTCAAGGGTACATGTTTCTATACAATGCAAGAATTTCCCCATTTTCTTAAGTCTTTTTTCCCTTTTCTTGACTTGAGTTAGGAATCAATTAAAAACCATGTAGAGCCGAGTGAATCCATAAGATATGGAACCCACTATGATTATTATCTCACCCCATAAATGCTGTTATTTTTTCAGGAAGTTCTGTATAAGTGAAGGGCAAGGATAAAATTGTTTGATGTCCATGACAACTCGATATTTTGGATGGCGTTCCGCTCTATATATATTTATTTTGAGATCATTCAGAGAATTATCTAGCTCTTAATTTTCTTTTTGGAACTTTTGTATATATTGTGTCATAGGTGTAGTTCTATTTTGGGCATGTATATGTGTACACTATTGCTGATAGACTCTTACGTATTTCAGTACTAGAATTACATTATATATAATGTGTATTCTAGACATGTACTATATGTGAGTGTTAGAATTTAGCAGGTTTCTCCACTAATCTTCCTCTATGGTGTAATCTCAACCTAAACTTATGACTCTTAGTTGGCCTGAGAAAAAATCAAAACAAAAATGCTTTAAGTTAACAACAAAGGACCCACAATAAGATAAAATCAGACAATATTACAAGTGGGACCACAAGAATACATAAATAAAAGCATGAGGCACCACTAAATAGGAATGAAGAGAAGGAAGCATGTGGACCACTGACACTTGTAAAAGGGACAAATAAACATACCTTACATAGTATTTTACTTCTTCGTTACTCTCCCTTTGAGACTGTGCATGCGTCATCTTCACAAGCACCAACTTTGAAACCCATAAACGAACTCTTGCAAGTTGAACGAGCTTCAAAAAATGGAGATTGAGATGCGACAGTGTAAGATGATGCTCGAGCTTCGTAAGTTTTGTTGAATATTGATTCGATTTAAAAGATGAAGGTAATGAATGGAAGTTAGGGTTCTTAAGCAATCACAAATTGGGTGGAAACGTAATGACCAGAAATTTTTTGACTTTACGAATTTTATAGCATTATATAAATTGTATATTTAATAAAAAATATTTTAAATGTTTTTTTATTAAAATATTGATTTTATTTTAAAAAAATTTAGAATTGCATGACATCATAATTAAACTGCCACCTCATAAATGCATATGACACATAAGCAAAACTGAGGGGAGCACAAAAATTCTAATAAAAGTAAAATGGTAATGCTAACTTGTGCCATTGGAAAAGACACAAGTTAAGAAACCTATTTATAATAAATTTGTATTGAAAAAAATAATTTAAAAAATAATTTTATATTTTAATTAATATTTATACACAATTTCTAAGACAATATTTTTTAATTTAGTTTTTAACTTGTACCCTTAGGGTATAAATTAACATTATCCAAAGCAAAATTAAGAGACTAAAATGGTGAATTTTCTAATAGAAAACTAATAGATTAAAACTCTTAAATTAAAAAAAAAATCAAAATTGCATTTAAACTTAATAAAATAAGATTGCATTAGATATTAAATAATGTCACTTTAATTTTATTTTTTATTTTTCTTATAGTTTTGAATTTATTATGACTATTTTTTTTAGGTTTTCACAATTGTATAATTTTTAGTCCTCTGAAAATTTTCTTCATATTTTTTTTGTCATAAATATTTGACCTTGAGAATTAAAGGTTTATCGTATAAGGACTTAATATTTTTAGAGATTAAAAATTTATGAAAATAATTCTTCAATTTATTCTAAATATCATATTTCATTGTTAATCTTTCTAGTTTCTATACAATGTGACATCAATTGTTTAAAAAAAAAAACTAAATCTTTTTTGGAGGATTAAAAAAAAAAAAGAACTCCACACAAAACCAAACTATTCTCCAACCAATAACCGCTCTCTTCGTGTCTCTCATTCTCTCACTGTCCGTCCGTTCGTCTCTACCACCACCACGCCCGACACTCACCTCGCCGCCACACCACTTCCGACGCTTACAGCAACATTACAATGGTAATTTCTCAACCAACTTCATGCAATGATTGATTATACTGTGTTACTCAATTTGATCTAGATGGTGTTTTTACATCCCTGCCCTTTCCATTTCAATGTTGTTCCTATCACCTGAAGTGTCTCTTCAGTCTTTTCAGTGTGTGAGTTGCAAACAACTGAGAAGTGTTATAGTCTTTCAAGGGAAGAGTGGTTATTCCAACATTTTGAACAGAGAAATGAGGTATAATGCATATTCATCTTATTTTATTCTTAATGTTATTATGATGTATGTGAGGATAGTGAAATTGAGATGGAAATTATGCGAACTTGATATTTTGTTTCAGGTGTTGTAGTTTTCTCCCTTCTAAATTTTCGAAAATGTGTTACCGGATGAAGCATAAGGTTACAGATAAGAAGTTTGTGGATATAGATCAACATGGTGGAAAGAGCGCGTTGAAGTTGCGTAGGACGAAAGTAAGTGAATGCTTTTGTGTATTGTGCTTCCAATGCAGCTTATATCAGATTGATTGTGCTTCTCAATTGAGTTTGTGAAGTATGGATAAATTTGTTTTGATATTTCTTTATTAATGCTTATAACTGCCCATATTAAGGTAACATTGATTGACGTTTATTTTACGTACAGGTATTTTCTCTTATGGATTATGACATCCCTGCCCTAATTGGAAATAGAAGCGGTGAAATAAAATCTAAAATGAATCTGGAAGAGGAAGACATCTCCTCGATATGTAAGAAATTTTCATCAATTACTTTGGGTAGTGCTCCTAAATTGGATTTGTATGATGAAACTGCGTCATATTCTGAAGCAACAATCAATTCGGCAACGAAAGATTTTGAACAGCCTTTTTATGATTCTTCAGAATTAAAGGAGGTGCAAAATACTCTCTCTGAAGCCCGGCCTTCTCTGCCTGTCGATATTTCTAGTGTAACAAACTTCACGCTAAAAAAAGATGATTCTTCTCGTTGTCCTTTAACACCTCAATCAGTGTCTTCGATATATGAAGAAAAATTGGATCAAGTTGCTAGGGAGGATTCTCAAAAGAAAGTGGGGCTGCAATCACAATCAAACCTTACACTTAATGAGTTATTTCTTGACAAGCCTATCAATTACATAGCTGGATTAACTAGGAAGCAATACGAGCAACTAGATAACTGTGGGTTTCACACGGTGGGTACCAAAATTGTGGCCTTTTGGAAAATATGTACTTCTTTGGATTTTCAGATTTAAAAAGATGGTTTGGATTCCACATTAATCCGATTCTTTACGTGTAGTTACGGAAATTGCTTCACCATTTTCCGCGGTCATACGCTAATCTACAGAATGCACATTCTAAAATTGATGACGGACAGTATATGATTTTTGTTGGAGAAGTCTTATCTTCAAGGTGACTATCCTGTGTATTATTTGCTTACCAGATTTATGCATGTTTCTATCCTTTTATCTTGGTATATGCACTCTTTTACATTTACTTTTTCACTTTTATATGCTCTCTTTTATGTTAAAAGTCTCACGTTTGATGAAATGAAATAAGGTTTGAAAAAGAGTTTATAAGTGAGAGCAATTCTCCCCTTATAAGCTAATTTTTGTAAGGGTTGAGTTAGGTACAACCTAAATTCTAAGAAGATGCAGTATAACCATTTATCCGTTGTACCTTACAACATAAGCTTTTTGGATTGGACTGTTGGTTCATACGTATTGAAGCCTCCTTGAACAAGTGCTAAGTATTTGATCCTTGCCACTCCATTCTTTATAATGATTTAATTTCAGCACAAGATAAAAATAAGATAGCAAATTGTCTATGCTTCAAGCCCCAAGGTTTTTGTGTGAGTGTGTGCTAGAGATATAATAAAGCCATTCATGTGAGTTTCCCTAATAGCTTAAACTTTTGGGATAGTTGGTTCATGACATTATCGGGCTTTGATGTAGATGTCACAATGTGTAAAATGACATTTTGCTGATATCTTTTAAAACTAGGTAATTTATCATACCTTATGTTGATAAATTTTAGTATTTTTGTTGCAGGGGAGTCAAAGCTGGTTGTTCATTTTCATTTCTTGAGGTGATTATTGGTTGTCAAATTGTAGACATGGAATCAGCTAATGAGCATCTGGCCGACAAAGTTGAGGAAAAGAAGACAATTTATTTGCATTTGAAGAGATTTTTCCGTGGCACACGCTTTACTTTTACGCCTTTCCTTAATAGTATTGCAACCAAGTATCATTCGGGAGACATAGCGTGTGTGAGTGGCAAGGTGAGTTTATGTTACTTCCCTTCCCCAACCCTTTTTTACGTTGTACTGCAAGTTTTCATGTGGATGAATTGATTTTAACTCAAGTTCATAGATACTAGTCTAAATATGAGTGTTGAAAGCAATGACAGGCCTCCGACATAAATGAACTATGTGAACCAAGATGCTGCATTCCATTTGTAATGTGAAACCGAGTTTGAGCCAAGTAAGAAACTTGCGTGCGGAGCCTTGATATTTTTATTATTTATACTTTTGCACAGTGGTTCAATTAGTTCAGTATTCTAAGCTATATTAGTTGTTGAATTGAACGAGGCATCACTAAGTAATCAGTCTGATAACCCAATTGTAAGGGGGGTGTTTTGATTCCTTCATTAAAGAGAGGAGAATGTTTGGGGGATCCCAACTTCTCTCTTGCAAAATATCTAAAGCAAAATTCACACCACTAGTATATGTTCAAACAAGCTTAAGTAATTGTGAGTGAGACTGCAAAGAATGTTGACATAATAGATTGGAATTATTGTGTTTAATTAATGGAAGACTTTGGGGAGGGGATGTTGACATAAAAGAATGTTGAAATAATAAGGGTCCCTAAAATTAAGGAAGCACAATTATCCCTAATAAAATAAATTATGTTAATCTATTAGCCCTTCTCTCCTTGTAAAATATTTTGAAGGTATTCTATCTTGTTCAATGTTTGAAACTTTTATTTTATTTGTATTATTTCGTTTGCTTTGCTTCTTTCATACTTGAATATTATGTTTTAATCTAAGAATTTTGTAACTGTACATAATTTTTGCTTTTTGAAGTAGGTTAGGACTATGCGTGCTATAGATCACTATGAGATGAGAGAATATAACATTGATGTGCTTGAAGATGGGAAAGATTTGTCACTCTGTACTAAAGAGAGGCCATACTGTATCTACCCTTCAAAAGGGGGTTTAAACCCAACATTTCTTCGGGACATTATTGCAAGGTTTGTGCTTCCAAATTCTTGTTAGTCAAAATCTTATCTATAAAACTGGTGTGAAAAAATTTCTAGTTTAGAAACGGACCATGAGTAGCTACTCAATCAAATAAACTATTTGATTTGTTAGTTTTCAAACTATATATAAATCATATAATATCTTGATGTTATGCACATTTTCCAAATATAATGTAAATCATGTATGTGCTATTATGATCAACAAATAATATCGAGTACATTCTTTTCAAAGTTGGTACATAGTTTCCAATTTGGGAAGCTATGTACACGCAAATTCTTGGCAGCAGTATATTGAGATAGACTGACATTTTATCAAGGAAAATTTAGCTAATGACCTTATATCCTTTGCTCACGTCCTTTCAAGATTCTAGTTGGTAAATGGATTAATCGAAGGACTTTCAAGGAGTCTTACTGAGATTTTATTGACAAGTAGGAAACAATGGCATTGAAAGCCCTATATTGGATGAGATGTGGCCTGCAAAATATGTTAATAAGTGGGGATAGTCCTCATCGTACAACTTACAAGTCGATTTTATTAGGTTAAGTTAAACTTGACCCAAATTCTAAGATAGTATCAGAGCCTATCCAAGTTTCGTTGAGTCACCTGCTACCAAGTTTTGCTATTGGTTCACCTACCCTCTATATCCATGCACCAAGCCTAATAGTGCTAACTGTTGGACTTTCCGCCTTAATTGCGGTCCGCCCCTAGTCGCCTTAATTGCGGCTCTTTGGCTTACCTCATTGCAGCCCCTAACACCTTCATTGTGTTAGCTTTGAAGGGGTGGATTTAGTCCCACATTGCTTAGAGGTATGGCCTGTGTTGTGTTTATAAGTGGTGGCAATCCGCACCTTACAAGCCGGTTTTGTAGGGATGAGTTAGACCCAACCCAAATTCTGAGATGGTATCAGAGCCTATCCTAGATCTATTGTTGGGCTTCCCGCATCGTCCACGCTTCGAACTCATTGAGGCCCAAGCGTGAGGGTGTGTGTGTTGGACTTTCCGCCTTAATTGCGGTCCGCCCCTAGTCACCTTAATTGCGGCTCTTTGGCTTGCCTCATTGTAGCCTCTAACACCTTCATTGTGTTAGCTTTGAAGAGGTGGATTTAGTCCCACGTTGCTTAGAGGTATGACCTGTGTTGTATTTATAAGTTGGGGCAATCCTCACCTTACAAACCAGTTTTGTAGGGATGAGTTAGGTCCAACCACACATTCTGAGATGGTATCAGAGCCTATCCTAGATCTATTGTTGGGCTTCCCGCATCGTCCATGCTTCGGGCTCATTGAGGCCCAAGCGTGAGAGGGTGTGTTGGACTTTCTGCCTTAATTGCGGTCCGCTCCTAGTCGCCTTAATTGCGGCTCTTTGGCTTGCCTCACTGCAGCCCCTAACACCTTCATTGTGTTAGCTTTGAAGGGGTGGATTTAGTCTCACATTGCTTAGAGGTATGGTCTGTGTTGTATTTATAAGTGGGGGCAATCCTCACCTTACAAGCCGGTTTTGTAGGGAGGAGTTAGGTCCAACCACACATTCTGAGACTAACATCAAGGGTGTGTTAAGAGTCCCACATCGAATGTCATATGGCTTGAAAATATGTTTATAAGTGATGGAAATTCTCACGTTACAAGCTGATTTTGTAAGGTTGAGTTAGACCCAACTCAAATTCTATAAGATAGATATTCATTTAATAGCTTGAGGAGAGTGTTGTGTGAGGAGCTCATAATATTGTTACCATTATTTCCTTTTTTATTTCTACAATTTTATACTATTGTAATTATGTATATAATGTCTATATTATTGTCAACAAGTAATAATGTTCAATAAATTTCTTTCAAATCATGTAACAATTTATTTAATATATTTTTTTCTTCTTCTAGAGCTTTACATGCCTTGCCAGTCAATGTTGATCCAGTTCCTAGAGATATTACAGAGGAATTCGGACTGTTATGTCTTCATGATGTAAGTATCTCTTTTGAACTTTTTATTCTATTGATGAGCCTTCTTGCCGTATGAAACCTGACCATTGTCACATAATTGGCTGTATAAACTTTAATTATTGTGTGTGATATACATTTCTGCCTGCCGATGAGTTGCAGAAGTCTTAGACTATCGGGGTAAAAAATTGTTGAGAATGAGAGCAAAAGTAAGCACAGATAAAGAGATAACAAGTATTCTTAATGTGGCCATGCCATAAAAGAAGGGAAAATGTACAGGAGCTAATAATCATTCCAGCTATCAAGAACCAACAAGAAAATAAATTGTGTAACAGAGATGAGGATGCTGCGTTAGATGTGTGGTAAGATTAGATGAGATAGGATTAGAAATGACAGTTTTAGAGAGAGTTAGGGTAACACTTACAATAGAAAAATGGTGGAAACTAAGTTTAGGTGGTTTGGAGATGTAGAGAGAAAACATGTATATTAGATTAGATGAAGAGTAGTCAAATCGCTAGAGGTAAAACAAAACTTAGAAAGATTATAAAAGAAACTATTAAATTTTTTTAAAATTAATGAGTTGGATAGAAACATGATTTAATAGTTGTAGTTGTTAGTTTTTTTCTTCCTATTTACTTTTTATTTGTGAGATAGGCCTTGTTTTATTGTAACAAGCTCAAAACTTAGTTAATAGGGGAATGTTATAAAATCTTAGAAATGTCTCAATTTTTGTTTCATATCTTAGACTATTTTAGAGTATCCCAGTCCTAGATAACTTTTTATTGTTTTATTTAAATTTTATTATTTGTTTCACTTTAATTAGGATCTTTTAAATTATTAGACATATTATATAGGAACGGAATCACTATTTATATTTGTATTTATTGCATTAAGCCCCTTTCTCTCTTTCTGCATGCGTTATGGTATCTATGCCTAAGAAAAAGTTATTGACTCATTCATATTGTCTGAATTTTCACTGTCATCTTCTTCTGTATACTTTAACTAAAATTTTAAATTCTTCAATGCTAAAAATTCAGGCATATTTTGGAATTCACAAACCGAAGGATCTTAGTGAAGCTGATCTTGCCCGCAAGAGACTTATATTTGATGAATTTTTTTACCTGCAGGTGAGGTTATCATTTTATATCACATTTAGTTTGCTCTATCATCTGTGGACATTTCTAATCTTTTTCTTCTAACTTGCTACCATTATCAAGCCTATGTTTGGGTGAATGATGTCTTGTGTAAAGTCATTTCTTTTAGTTATCTATTTGAAAGTAACTAATGACCATTGTCCTAGGTGTGATTGTTTCTTGTTACATTACTGTTAACAATTGTGTTTAAGAGGTGTTTGGAAGAGCTTATTTAGAACTTATTTGTGCTAATTTCATAAGATATAAGATAAGTACTTGCAAATATTTTTTTAATGGCAAATTGTCAGTGTTAGCGTGTGTAGGATAGCGCACACTTAGATGCAGTTGAGCATACATTTGCGTGTGCTCGTGACCTTAACTTAGATGTGCGTGCGTGCGCGCACAAGCTTTAACTTAGAGGCAGTTGAGCATACATGTGGCATGCACACGCTAACCTTAACTTAGATGTAGTTGAGCATACATTTTTCTGGTGCTATGTTTGTGCAGCAATTGTTCGATCTTTTCACTAATTATTTTTTGAGCTTTATCATCTTTTGTTGTAATAATTTATTGTTCTTGTTATATACTTAAATCTTTTTTTATTTATTTAACCCAACTCTATCTATACTGTCTTTTGTCAGTTAGGACGATTATTCCAAATGCTCGATGGTCTTGGTACACAAATAGAAAAGGATGGATTGCTAGATAAGTATAGAAGACCTGAAGTTAACAGTGTGCGTACTGAGGAATGGTCCTGTCTCACGAAGAAGGTTTTGGAGCTCCTTCCATACACTCTTACTCCTGGTCAACTGCAAGCTGTTTCAGAAATTATTTGGGATTTAAAGAGGCCAGTTCCAATGAATCGGCTACTGCAGGTTTTGATTTTTCTTGTCGATATTCTTTTACTATTTCCATATCTATACACTATTCCATCCACTTTTTGCTTCAGGTACGTACTAACATAGGAAAAGTAATGCTAGAAATTGAGTGATATGAAACAAGCCACTCAAGCATACAAACACGATTTCATTTAAAGTTTTTCCAACAACTTTCATGTGTGAATTCAAACATCAGCCCCCAAGTCTAAACATCAAATCCTTCAAGATGATCTTCTAGATTAGATAATTTTTTTTTTCTTTGGGGATAAAAAACAATATAATAAGATAATATATAAAAGTAGAAAATTCCTGAGAAATCGGAGGATAAAAAATCCTCCTCCCAGCAGGAATCATCAATAAACCATACCCACACACGAATCATGTTGCTTAATGTAAAGGTTGCAGGTCTATCATCATTGGCCACCTATGCCTCCACGTACAGCATTTGTGGACTCTAATTCCACCCTGAGAAGGACCTATGCACTTGCACACCTTAAAAAAGTTGCTTTATATTATTTTATACTCCCTTTGTTCTAAAATAACTGATTTAGTTGGACCAGTTCGTTTAGATTTTGAAAAGTGAAGTATCTGTATCATGTATTGGTTTATTTACTTTTACCGTAAGTGACCTAGTTGACCAATTCACACCTTAAAAGATTTTCCATTAGATTCAAAGTGTATAGAGAGAAGAATAATTTTAATTAAGTACCCTTATCATGTATTGATTTATTAACTTTTACCGCAATTGCAAAGTGAAAGATATTGAATTGAGTGATGCAAATAGTGTTAATTAGAGGGTACAATTGGAAAAAGTACTAATTGTGTATTGGAAATTGAATGAAGTCACTCATTTCGGGACCATTTTTTTTTTAAAAAGCAAGTTAATTTGAGACGAAGGGAGTAATTTTTTAGTTTTACACACCATAAATTTTTTTTGCATCTTGATCGAAACACATTAATTCTCTTTCTTGCTTTGCACACACTATGCATACAATGAATTGTATTGAAAAAGCTGTGTTCAAGAATATTACTGATGAGTTGATTATTCAATGATTTCAATAGCATGAAATCACAGAAAAATTATAAGATATGTTTAAAATTTGTTTAATTCATATATTTAATTTATAATTATATCTCTAACCTCTAAAATTTCATACAGTTCAACACCTTTTTACTTTCCAAATTTGGAAAAAGATGTGTTTTCGTTCCCCAATTTTAGAAACATGTCATTGTTATCATTGAAATTCAATTTTAGTCCCCTTTGATGTTTGTCAAGAGAACCACAAATGACATTTTTCGTTGGTTATTCCTATTTATATTTTGTATAGATAATAATAATAATTATTACTCGAAGTTAAATAATTTGCACCCTTTGACCCATTGTGCTAAATACATCTCTAATTCCACCACCCTGCCTTTTCCGTGCAACCCATTGCCCTATGGAAGTGAAGTGTTCCTTAGTTCAAGCCCAAAGCTGGTATGTAACCTTTAACAACAAATGAGGTCCGAAGTTGTTCAACCTGACCATCAAGATCCTTAACTAAGAATATCCACCTCCATCCCACAACTAACTTTTCTTAGAGTAGGGGGAATGAGGTCCTAAGTTCGAATGTTTTGAAGTGCCCATATTTCTTCAACTATAGCTTGTATCGAAATTACCCTGATTATGTGATAGTGTATTATATGACTGTTTCAGTTATGGGACCTAGATAAAAAGAAGAATAATAAGTATAATAAAAATGTAATATGATTAATAATAACTTGATGGTTTTATATAAAAGACTAAGTTAAGGTAAAGAATGCAATACTATATGCACTATTTTTATAATTGGTTTTGCTTTGGTAAAGAATGCATGTATTTATCATCTCAAATGTTATACAATCACCAAACATAGGATAATGATATTGTCTACAATACAATTTTGTACAAAGTCACACTAAACTCATGAGAATATGTCATTGTTCATCTATTAACTACGAAAGGTCAATGGAAAAGCTTCAATTTCAAGTAAAACCTAAGGCCCTTTGGATAACAAATAGTGTAAGGCCTATTTGTCTCCGACATAATACATTTCAATACTGTGTCGTGTTTATCTAATGTTGTTTTGTGATGCTCTCAGGGTGATGTTGGATGTGGGAAAACTATTGTTGCTTTTCTTGCATGTATGGAGGTTATTGGTTCTGGCTATCAGGTATTTCTTCACCCTCTTTATTTTGCATCCAGTTAATCTATCAATTTTTTCCCTTCATTTGTCATTTAAGTGATGAATATTTGTAGAAACCAAATAGAGATAGAAATATAAACTGACTTGAAGGAGAGAACTTGTTGCATCCAGAGCTGACTAGTTTAATACAGAACTATAGAACAAATACTTGCCAATAGAATAGAACCTAGCTACTTACAAAATTGTAATATAACAGAAAATTGATAAACCAAGCTGAGAACAAACGTGATCCCTTATCAGTCTAACTCACCCAATACTACTCAATTCTTTCATGCCTTTGCCATTCTGTTACACTCCTCAAATGTACCCATCCGCTCGTCATGACACCTGAATCCCCCCTCTCCTCCTATACTGCCATGTGTCTGATTAAGTTATTTCCTCCTGCTTCCCGTTTCTCCTCTTCAAGTGATCCTGCCATAGACTCGTCCATTGGGATTTTCATAAGTTATCACACAACCAGTCTTACCGTCTGTTTTTTTTATACATCTTCTAAATATTTGACATATTTATGCATATTGATAATTGGTTCTCTTGTCTAATTATTAGGCTGCTTTCATGGTTCCAACTGAGTTGCTTGCAATCCAGCATTATGAACACTTGCTTACCTTGCTTGAAAACTTGGATGAGGTCGAGTTCAAGCCGACTGTTGCATTACTCACTGGTTCGACCCCACTAAAACAATCGCGGATGATTCGTAGGGTATAATTACTTATTTTTCCGAGTGTTAGAACTCAAGTCAGAACTATCCAGTTATTATTTTCTTGTACCATATGAAATTCTTATAGTTTTATTTAAGATACGATGTTGCAGGGTATCCAGACCGGAGAAATTTCAATGGCCATTGGAACCCACAGTTTGATTGCAGAAAGAGTGGAATTCTCAGCCTTACGTATTGCTGTGGTGGATGAGCAGCATCGCTTTGGTGTGATTCAAAGAGGAAGGTTTAACAGTAAGGTGTGTTAAAATATTATAAAGTATCCTAGAATCCATTTATAATCTTAGAGTATGCCTTAGAGTTAGATTATATTTTACTCACTATTATTCTGATTTGTTCTTGATTTTCTATTTATTTAGGATTTGGTCTATGTATCCCTATAAATAGAGATTAATATCGAGTCCAGCATAAGAGGGAGTGTTGTAATTGACTTAGAATTAATGTTCAATGATATTCCATTTAGCTTAGATTCATTGTATATGTTAGGTACTAAGTTTGGGCCTAAGCCCAACGAATGTGTTGAATAGAAGAGTTGGTTACATTTGCTAATGTGAATATTGAATCCTGCATAAGGCTCATGTTTCTTATTGCCAAAAATGATGTCTTCATTGCTCTTTTTCCTTTTTATCTGATTTTATTTAATGATACTATGATTGTTGTCTTCTTATTTTTGTAAGTTATTTTATAAATCTACAATTTCGAGTATGGAAGATGATGCTATTACAGACGGGTCCTCAAAGAGTGATGATTATATGGCTCCACATGTTCTTGCCATGTCTGCTACTCCCATCCCAAGGACACTTGCGCTTGCTTTGTATGGTGATATGTCACTAACACAGGTACTTAATTTTTCCTGTTCATTATTCTAATGCAAGACTTTCCACTCCCACTACCTTTTGCTTGAATAAGTTTGAATTCCATATGCACAAAAAAAAAAAGGAACACAGGTGCAACACGACTTTTGTAGTTATTGTTTCACGATGTTTGTTGTTACTAACTTTCACAATTTAGTACCTAAAATTATTTGCTGCTGCAAATGCTTACTCTTTTTCCACCACAGATAACCGATTTACCACCAGGAAGAATTCCTGTTCAAACATATGCCATTGAAGGAAATGAAAAAGGGTTCGAGGAGGCCTACGAGGTGACAGTCCTATCAAAACATTCTTTAATTATAGACTAGTATTTTTATCTTCACCCTCATTGGTATTTAATGTTCCACTTTCTGGGTAATTGGGCGTAATTTGATAATTTAAACAATGAGATCCAAACGATAGACTTGTATATGACTTTGTTGACATGCCACTGAGAGTTACTTGATATGAAGATCAAGCATTCCTATCACGATGTATAACATAATCAGATTTCTTATGCAGGATTCCAATAAAATGTATATTGTATGCTCTTCTTTCCCTATGTTCTTATTGATGTAAAATGTATTTTTGACAGATGATGATGGATGAGTTGAAAGACGGCGGGAAAGTTTATCTCGTGTACCCAATTATTGAGCTTTCAGAGCAGTTACCTCAGCTTCGTGCTGCTTCTGCAGATCTCAAATCTATCTCAGACCGGTTTCCAGGATACAATTGTGGTTTATTACATGGAAGAATGAGAAGTGAAGAAAAAGAAGAAACGTTAGGGAAGTTCAGGACTGGAGAATTGCATATACTACTTGCCACTCAAGTAATTGAAATCGGTGTTGATGTTCCAGATGCATCGATGATGGTCGTGATGAACTCTGAGAGGTTTGGAATGGCCCAATTACACCAACTCAGGGGCCGAGTTGGACGTGGAACAAGGCAGTCAAAATGTATATTAATATCATCAACTGTCAGCGGCCTTAATCGTCTGAAAGTACTGGAGGAATCATCAGATGGGTTTCATCTCGCTAATATGGACCTATTATTACGTGGACCTGGTGACTTGCTTGGCAAGAAACAATCCGGGCATCTTCCTGAGTTTCCTATTACCAGATTGGAAGTGGATGGGAATATCTTACAGGATGCACATGTCGCTGCACTGGTAAATATTGTTTGTCATTTATAGGAGTTGTTCGCTAATTGATTTTATGATGATTTTTTTTACCTTTATTGCCATAGTTATCCAGTTAATTTTCCGTAACTGATTGTGAACAGAAAATCTTAAGTGCTTCCCCTGACCTGGAGCAATTTCCTGCACTTAAACTCGAGCTCGGCATGAGACAACCGCTTTGCCTGCTAGGCGATTGATCAAGTCTCGATGGGGTATTAAAGAGTTGGCCTGTTCATTGTGATAATTTTGTAATGTAAATAGTTTTATAGGCCCTTCTTTGGTTATGTAGACAGATTTAATCTTTAGGCTGATGTTAATATCTTGGAAGTCCATTGTTATCTTTTTTATCATGTTTTTGCTGTGATTCTTCTTCTTCATTGTAACAATTGATGGCTTAATATTCTCGAGATTTGATATTCTCGAGATTCGATCTAACAAGGCCTCATTTTTGGAGGGCACCAATTTTTGTACCTGTTAATAGAAAATGACATGCAACATGTCACATTAGATTAAATTGTTTGGCCTAATATTGAAAGTAATTGTTAAAGAACTTTGATGAGGATTATCAATGATTTTGTAATAGAAAGTGCAAGAAAAATCATAATTAAACAGTTAATAGGATATAACTTTTTGGCACCAAAAATGTCTCTGTAGACTAGTAGCTATCTTTGTAATATATCGGTGTTATTTAGTAGGTAGTTAATACTTAATAGATATATTTAATGTCAAAACTCAGTAACCCTAAGTTTACAAGTAATTAACCTAATTTTTAGGTGATTCGAAAATGTGCAACGTTTTAATAGCAACAGTTTAAAGATTTATGAATAGACATTGTAATTGCTATAACTTGCTGTTTAAAAAAATGTTAAGATAGCGTCTTATCGCTCACAAAAGGACATCTAGGTGTGACTGTGGCTCCAAAATGTAAAAAAGATGAACCTCGCTCATAATTTTTTTTATTATTTAATTTCCTCAACCATGGAGTTTTATGAGAAAGTGGCTCTTATAATTTGATCTTTGTGGTGAAGAATTGTTTGTGTAGTTGTGAAGCGGACCAAAAATGGGCAGTTCCGAATGGTGAATGGTGATGATGCTCGTGGTTTGTTTTCTTGGAGAGATGGGACATGCAAGTATTCTGACAAGCTCACATCAACTTCTATACGAAGCAAAAATGTGTGTATTTTGCTTTGATGTTTTATTCGTCTTTTTATGAGAGGTTTTTAGAGATTTTGAGAGATAAAACCTTTTAACGTAGAATCACTTTTCAAATAGTCAAGTATTAGAGTATAATTTGTTTTGATGATCCTCACTCAATCATTTGCTCATAACATGAGCTTTTCTAGAGCAGATTTATGCTTGTTTCCGAGGTCCAAGAACCTTTCTTAGGACTTTATGTGACTCATCCTGCATGGCTTTTCTTTTTATTCAACTGCTGTCAATTTCTTTTTCCTCGCACATACCTTCATCTAGAGGTGGACAAATTTGAACCATCTAATTAAAATTGACCGATTCATTGTATCATTTATACAAACGAATTGGGTTAGTGTTAGCAAGAGAATGCTAGTCCAGTAATTGTTGACATGAAAGTGTGATACAAGGGCATGAGATTGTTAAGTATACAATTACTTAGCTCTAGTATTCAACATATTGATTGTTTTAATTGAGATGGTGAGTTCGACTCACCAAGTGTTTTTGCGACTTAGCATTTTCTTGAGTTCAGGGGTTAGACGACCAGAAAGCCCATGAAATTTGATTTGGAGAAATCTCAGGAACAAATTCACAAGATTATGATCTCTCTCTCTCTCTCTCTCTCTCTCTCTCTCTCTCTCTCTAAAAACATGTCCAGAATGTCGAAATTTTTTACTGTGATTTGACATATTTGACGGGAATGAAGGCAATAAAATAAATACATAAGTTAAAATGCAAGTAGTTCAATTATGTTTCGGCACCATACTACATAGTTCGATAAAGAAACTCCTCGACAAGGATAGTTAGAGATTGTGAAGATGGTTTTCAATAATGAGAGTAATTTAGAAGCAATAACACATGGAAGGAAAGTAGATGATAGAAGACCAGATAATGGTGTACGTGTCGGGTGATGAAGAGTAAACCGTTATCGATGCTTAGGAAAATATAGTATATAAGCAGATTTCATTCATGTAACAAGGGTTCATAAGTTTTACAATTATACTCTATAAAACTCGAGTATCCAAGTCACAGAAAGAAAAGAGTTTGTGAGGAACATCTATGAATCTGCGTTCATTTTCTAGTTCTATAATCAAAGCATTTTGTTCAAATTTCTTTTATTGTTTCTTTTGTTTTATTTCAAGTTCTTAGAACAATCCTGCATTATTCTTATTGAGATTTCTACCCAACTTTCTTTACAATAAAATGCAGTACCTAAGCACAAACATATTTTCTCGAATCTTTTGCACAATATGTCCTAGAATTTTTTTGAGTTTAATCATTTAGTTGAACAAAAACTTGTGATTTGATTTGTTAAAACTACTAGCAAACAGTCGGGTTGATCCAATTGCTTAATTTGGGTAGTATAAAATTGATTTAGTTGGACTCAGATGATTATTTTGGACCCGTCAAAAATCGAACCCAACTAATATTTATCATATTTATTTTTATTACTATAAGGTTAACCCATTATAAAAATGATGTTCACAATGTTGTCAGATTATTGTCATTTTTATAATTTAACAGTGGCTGAAGGCGTGAGAGAACACAAGAAAGGGGGGTTTGAGTTGGGTTTTCAAAAATGAAAATTTTTTGTAAAACTCAAACAAAGATCACAAATCGACTAACAAGAGAGAAAGACACACAATATATCCTGGTTAACTTGAAAACTATCAAGCTAATCCAGTTCACCCGCCAAAGTGATTTCACCTTATACACAAGGACTTAATCCACTATAGTCAACTGATTGCACTGCACTAGCAACCGCTGGTGACTAACAACACAAACTAACTGTCTCTTCTTAAGGATTCTGACCCAACTGGTCTCTTAAGGAATCACAATCTGCACTAGCAACCGCTGGTGACTAACAACAAAGGCTAACTATCTTTTCTTAAGGATTCTGACACAACTGGTCCCTTAAGGAGTTACAAACAACTGTTTGAACAAAAATATTTACAATGAATTGCTTCTACACAAGCAGATATAAACACTATTAATAGCTCAAATGACTTAAAGAAGCTTTCGTAGTATGAACAATGTTGTTTCTTTGTAATGTGGTGCTTTAATAATGTTGCTTCAGTTCTTCATAGATCTCTTAGTTCTTATCATTCATTCTTTTTTAATCGTGGTTGAATCATTGTATAAATCGTTGTATCATGTTCTATTTTCTTCAATTCATCAAGTCCTTATATAGCCAGAAAAAGATCCTTTGGAGGGTAGATCAGGAATATCCTTTAGATAGCCGACGACTTGAAATAATGTCGTTACGCAGGGATGAAAATCGTACACAAAAGTTGTCTTTTGTACCACCAAATCAGGGTAGTGGAATGGTAGTAGAATGGAATGTTGAAATATACTATGTACTATTTTCCCTCGTAAATGTTTGAGCTTATCTTTTGTACACCAGGGGCTTCTGAATATAAATTATTGAAGCATGAGTAGAAGAGTTGATCATTGAGTCTTTAGAGTCTTCAGAACTTGTTCACCAAAATCTTGTCTTCAGAGTCTTAAGCACCCAATCTTTAGCACCCTTAGTCTTTAGTAACTTAAGTCATCAAAGTCTTCAGATCGTCGTTCAACAGAACTTTATCTTCATAGTCTTCAGCACTTAATCTTCAAAAACTCAAGTCTTTAGAGTCTTCAGAAATTTGTTCAGCAGAACCTTGTCTTCAATACTTAGTCTTCAAAAGATAATGACTTCAGAAGCTAGAAAGCCTTAAGAAGTAAAACATCAGAGTCACGCTCAGAACCAGAATACAAGAGAGCATTGCAGCAGTAACATATTATCTTCTTAGAATCTTTCTGAATGTGAGTAGATCAGAAGCCGACTTGCTTCATATGGTGCATAAACGACTTTGGTCAGATCAAAGTGACATGTCACATGGTCTCTATCAGAGTCAGAACCTGTTTGTTAATTCTTTAGAAAAAGCAAATGTTAGAGTACCAAAATTATTCTCACACAAATACTACTTTGTTATTATCAAAACTTAGAGATATCTGGCAGAACCAAATCTTGTTCTAACAATCTCCCCCTTTTTGATAATGACAAAACATGTCTTTTGATGACACAATTTTGTACGAAAATAATCAATAGGAAATGATAGAGATAAATTTAGAAATAAATCCCATTATCAAGCTCCCCCTGAATCTAAGACTTAAAAAAAATCTTATCAGATTTGGGATACCAGAGCCTGATTATAAAGATCTTATCACATTCAGAAATCAGAGCCCGACAATATACCAGAGTCTGATTGGTTTTATAAGATCTTGTTAGATCCATAATAACATCGCTTGATTATATACCAGAGTCTGATTGGTTCAATCAGAGCCTGATTGCCAATATATCAATTTGTTCTTGAAAAACATTCTAAGAAAAATTACGTGGAGTTAAAAAGTTAGAATGTCATAGCTATGATTCAGAGACAAAGTATTCTTATCAAAATAATTTCCCATTAATTATATTCCCCCCTTTTTGTCATAATCAAAAAGGTAAATAGAAGAACTAAATAAGATAAAAACAAAAATACAAAGGAAACTAAGGGGTGGCCTAAGGAGTGTTTAAGGTTGAGGAGAAGGAGGGAGCCTCTGAAGGATCTGAGCAAGTGCATTCTTAATGTTGTAACTGAGTTCTTCTTCCTTGCCCATTCTCGTTCTGAACAACTCTTGCTCCTTTTGAATACTTGCCAGAGTCTTTAACCCTGGATCAGAGGTAGAGTTTTCAGCAGCTTTCAGATCTTCTTGATTTTTCAATTCAGCTTCTCTCTCAACTTGATCTTAAACTTCCTTAGCTAACCTTTCAGCTTCTCTGTAAAGAGCTTCCTTAGCCAATCTCTTAGCTAGTTCCCTTTTAGCAGCTAGCTTTGCTTCAGCTTTCCTCTTAGCTTTCAATCTCTTTTCAGCTTGCTGGACAAAATAATCTCTTGTTTGAACAGAGAAATTTTGAATCTTATGAAATTCTTCTGACATCCACTGATTGAATTGATCCCAGGGAGCACCCAAAGCAGAAGGGTCT